CCCAAAGGATCACATGTTTTCACAGTCACAACCCCTCACATGGGATTCACACAGCGAAGTCGCAGCTAAGCTGCCGTTCACAGGTCCTGCGGTCCACTGCCGTGCCCATGGGGAAGTGGCATCAGTCTTGAGCTCCGCAGAGGGTAGCACGTAGCCCTTCACGCTGGGCTTGTGACCTGCCCCGGGTATTCTGACATCGCTGGGTTTAGGGTGCTCCTCCCTGCAGGCACCATGATGCGGCCTGGGGACTCTTCTGGCCGAAGCTACAACTACCAATAGCCAATAGCCCAAATAGCGTTAAGACGGCTCTTTTTTCAGCAGGCAAGGTTGCCTGGGATTGCACCGACAGCAGCTGCTGCAAGGAGGTTGTACTCCTCTATGCTGTCCGGCTTGGGACAATTACACCTGCCACCAGATACTTTCGACTTTGATGAGGCAAACATTTGGCCACAAACAGCTGCCAGCCTGCCACACACAGGATTTCTGGCAAAGCACACTGCTCTACATTTGGGGCAGCTCCAATCTCCCGGCTGTCCTTGCAGCTTGTTGGGAGTCAACATGATGTAAAAGCATGTGTTGCACCTTGTGTGTGCCAAATTGACTATGAAACAAGCATTCTCAAAAGCAGGAGGACACTCTGGACCATCGAACGGCGGACCAAGCGTCCTGTAGGTGACTCAAGAGGGTTCTCCTGACCTGCGTTGGGCAGCGGCGTCCCATAGGAGCCCGCAATCGGTCGCTGTGCGCCGCAGTCACGGCAGGAGATGTTGCCTCAAAGCTTGTTGGCAAGCAGATGGCAGATACTGCTAGGCCTGTGCTGCCTTCCCGAAGCTCTGCTCACGAATTCAAAAGCAAAACTGCACATCTGCTTCACGGCCGGGTAACGCGCGAACTGCGGCCGTTTGCAGAACTGGCAGGTCCAATCTCCAGGGTTGCGTGCACCAGGCAAGGCCACCGCCAAGGTCGTCACGTTGGCAGCACCGGGCGCTTTCGCTGTACTTGCCATGCTCGCAAGGCACAGAGCAACGATAAGAGACTCCCCCACTGCGACTGCCCGGCCCAAAGCTTCAGGGTGCTGTGGCGTATTTGAGCTGAGCTCCTGTGGGTCACCTGATGAGGTTGTGTGCAGGAGTCTGGTTGGATCAGGAACATTTGCCTTCCTCAGGAATCCTACGCACGGGTTGCCAAAGTTGTCTTGCTGCATTATCTTTCATCTTGGCAGCTAGCTGGGTCAGCTTGAACCTAGCGCAGTTGGACAGATCAAAGCGTCCAACGCTGAAAGACTGCTCAAGATTGGATTTCGGAGGCCCTAAGCAACTCCTCCACCACTCAAGCACATGCCCTCCAAGCGTGTGACGGTGTGAGTGCCAAGCTGTCAGCCGTTGGTGGCTCGGGTCCTCAATACACTCTGCTGTGGAGGGCCGAATCTGATGAAGGCTTTTCGTCGTTGGCTGATTCAAAATGGGAGACATCCACATATTATAGTAGTTTCCATTTTCTTTTCCATTATCCCACTATAACCCTAATATTACCCCATATTATAGTAGTTTCCATTTTCTTTTCCATTATCCACAGACTTACGGCCCTCGGCCAGCGGCTGAAGCTTGCAATCAGCTCCCCGGAGTGGTGCCCACGCCTTGATGACATCAAGGCACGCCGAAAGATGTAGCCAAAGGGAAGCAGTGGATATCCGTGAGCTCGTATCTGTCTTCTTCTTCGTGCCACACGAGCCCTCTCTCTCTTTCATTTCTTTCCTGAGGGCTATGCACAGGCCCCTTCTTCTTCTTCTTCTTCGGGCTAAGCTGGTCCCCATGGACCAGCCGGCGCACCGAGCCGAGCCCCGCGCTGTCCCAATGTCTTGTCGGTACCATCAGGCACCCCCTCTCTCTCTCTCTTTGTCTCTCTGGGCGCTAAGCCGCTAAGGCCTCCACAGCTCGTATCTTCCCCAACCTGGCATTCATGGGGACTCACATCCAAGTGATCAAGCTGGAAGAGTTGTCTACTTGGGGTCCCGGCTCACACAACTCACCCGTGCTCCTCGAAGTTCGTTCAAAGCCTTGAAAGCGACGAACGCAGACTCCTTTGACACTTGCATCATGCTTGCATCATGTCCTCATGTCTGAGGCTCTGGCCAGCTTCTGCCAAGCTGACGCTGACTTTGATGCGGGCCTTGAAAAACACCAAGGCTGGGCTTTTCTGAGGCAGTGTTTGGCAATGTCCGGGGTGGGGATTTCAAGCTAAGCTGTCAGCCGTGCACGCACAAGCATGATTCGTGGAGGCCCCTCAGACAGAATCACGCCATCAACGGTGCAAACCCGTTGCCAGCTGGACAGGATGCGCTGAGCACGAGGCCCAACACCCAGGCATCATGACCTGAGCTGAAGCCAAACTCTGTGAGCTGCCGATGAGAGACTGAAACCTTCAGTTGTATGACCCTTTCTAGGCTTCCTATGGCTCATCTTTGGGGGCCAGGCCCTCATCACTAGCACAAGGTGGCGGCCCAGAACGGCCCCGCGAACCTGAAGTTTTCGAAGCTCCGCTCCTTCACGGGGCAGACGAGTCTGAGCCAGCTGCCCACGATGCCAGGAGGGCGCGCTCACAAGAAGCGCGATCCTGGGCTCGATTCCCAGCATGGTACTATTCTACAACGCACGTCTGCTCTGCAACGCCTCGACTTCACGCTGGCTCAGAAGCAAGTCTCCTACATCACACGAGGAAGTGGCATGCCAGTGCAGACTTGCACAACTCGAAACACGCACCTTGGGAAGGCCACTGTGCCAGCGCGTGCCTGGATCGAGTAGTAGACTAATCAACGGTCATTCGTATACGAGGTCTCCAACTCAACAGCTTTCTCACACTTCCGTTTGTCTACCTGCCTCTGTTTCTGGCTGTCCTCCGACTCGTCCGTTGAGGGCATTCTGCGCCTCGCCAGGGATTATGAGAGGAATGGGTAAGGGACAAAGCGATACGTAAAGACTGTCTTGCAACCACGGCTACCCCTTACGGGAACCCTGCCAAGACAGAAGCATGACAAGTAGAAATTGGAGAACACAGAAGTTGTAATAGTTTGGGCCAGTCTATGCCCAGTGACCCAAGTGGAATGATGACAATGCTAATGAAGATGCTCACAGAACGAGTGATGAAAGCCCATGCCTGAACGTGACATGGGCAGTCATCAATCTATTGGTACCAAACGCAGGTGGCGGCCTCGATTGCAGAAATTCTGATGGCCCTGAGCAAGTCAAACTGTGAGCCAAAATGGCCTTGTGCAAAACAGCTGGCAGGTTCTCTTAGCTGATGCTTGGGAAGCCTTTGGGAGTTGTGTGTGTGCGCAACAGCTACTTGTTAGCAGGAAACCTGGGCAATTTGCGGGACATCGACAATGTGACATGTGATGCTGCCTGGCAGCGGGAAGTGCATCATCCCAAAGCCAACCCTTCCTCAACAGCGATCCTGGGAGAGAAGCCTCTGGAATGTCCAGCTAACATCACCTCCCGTCGGGTCCTCAAAAAGTGCTTGGTGCCTTCGCTTTTTCTGGGTCGCCCCGCGGCGAAGGAAGCTAGTGGCAGGGTGTCATTACACTATCGTCAAGGACGTCAACATAAATTATGGTCTGATTAAAAGGCACAAGGCCAGCGGGGAAACTACAGTACTGTGACTGTGCGCTAGTCAGCTCACATGGTCCAAGCTCCTGCTTCATAAACCCCGCTCTGTAAAGAATTTTTGCGTGGCCAGATTTGGGACCAAAGGCTACTGTAGAGGCAGAGCCCATTTTCGTGCTAAAAATAGCCCTGGAATCAAGCACGGAATTCTAGCTTTAAAATGATAGGAAGGTTTTCCACTAACCCTGGAGCTCAACTGGGAGATTTAATGCTTTACTTTGAGCGCCGAAGATCCAAAACAACGGGAAGGTTTTGCTTCATCAGGAGCTCAGATGACTTGTTAAAGGTTTAAGTCTGATCGGAAGATTCAATTACCGTGGCTGATCTCAAATGAGAATAGGAGAGCTGATTCTGAGACTTGATGTGTCTGTTCAACCGGAGTTAACGGCTCAAGCGGTGCTTCCTGAGCCGCCCCTTACACTGACCTTGCATGAGAGGATCTCTCTCTTCATATTGATGGTACCACTAAAACCCTCTTCAAAGAGCCACAAAGAATCTCCGAAGTCATGATTAGCTGTAAATACGCTTTTACCAGGACTTGTCTAGCTTCACCTTTGCTCCTATTTTAAACTTGAACCACCTTCATTATCCTTCCTTTCACTCTTACTCTTGTGCAGCTCCTCCAGGTTTCTTAGTTTGAGCTTTTGTCGGTGCCATATTGCGTGCGGTTACTCCTGGGGTGAGCCGGGAAGTCAGACCATTATGTCTGATTCAACAGGTTCGAGTGTCTTTAGTTACTTTTTATTGCGGGGGCGGAGGCCGCTTCCTGATCAAGAGCCGGGATTGCAGCCTCCAATCTAGATGCATAAAGCAGAGAACCTTGCTCTGCCCACTCCACCCTGCCACAGAGCTGAAAATTCAAATCACGTAGCCTCGTGAAACGAGCCACGAGACTGTCCACTGCAAGCCGCTGCTCTTCAGCTACCACTTCACTCAGACTTGACTCTGGGATTTCTGAGGCGGCTCGCTTGACAGGTCCCGCGGCGCAATCAAGGCGAACTGTCCCGTCACGCTGGTTTCAAAGTGGTATCAGGCCAGGGACTGGCGCTAAAGAAATACCGCTGGCATCTTTGGCGTGCCAAGAAACACGAAAAACAGCATGCCCTCAGAGGCTGGACAATGTTTATTGCTTGTGGCATGGTTTCTTGAGATGCCAACGGGCAGGTTGGTCTCCAGCAGCAAGCAAGGGGAAACACGAACAGCTCATTGGGGCTTAGTTTTTCCACACTTGTTTCGGATCATGCTTACTGCAGGGTCCGAACATGGTGAACAAGGTCCAGGGCTCACAGCTCGGACGAAGCAAGATACAGTAGTGCCGAACGCACTCTAGGCTGCAACTCAAGCATTCTCGAGAAAGACTGCCTCTTGATTTCGAAGCTTCTCCTCCTCGCCGCAAATCTGCACTCAGTGATGTCCCAACAGCTCCGTACAGCTCCCCACACAGCTCTGCCCACATGAGGAGGGACGCTGCTTAGTATTTGTGAAATCTTTGCAAGCAAGTGTCGAAATTGGATCCCAGCACCTCACCGCCTCCGAAGGCGATGGGGGTCTTGCCCTTCACACCCATAGGGTCCTGGGGCACCTGCAAGCAAAGGACACCATATTATGCTGACTTTTACTTTTCTAGTGATGTGTTTGAAGTGCGGAGCTAGGCACGAACTGGTCCTTCTTCGCCAAGATGGAGGGATCGATCTCCTTCAGGCCCTGCAAGGAAATCCAAGTGCCAGCTTTGCCTAGAAGCCTCCCTGCAGCTTGTAAACACTTAGGCCCCATACACCTTTTGAACAGATGCTTTTGAATGGCTGAAGCTTTTGTTCAAGCTCCTGGGGTGTAATATCCCCGAATCTCCTGCTTGCCCCGCCTTGGTTGGCACGCCTGCTGCTTTACAAGCGACCTGGCACTTTCACGCGGAGGTAGAAGTCTGAAAGGTTCTTTTACGAGTGCAAATTTATCGTTTGCCGCAGCAGCATGCGGCGAAATGCCGTGTCTCTATCACTCTGACAAGAGTTCGCAGAAGCATGAACACACCATGTCGTACTGAGACCTGCTGCATGAGGACTTACTAGTCATTCATCCCAAATTATCAGTAGTGTGGGAGCTGCCCATATCTCTGCTCTCTTGTAGTTAGCATTGCAATTGCCAATGCTGCATGCTGGCGTGTGGTCTTACTACTGTTTTTTGGCGACAGTGCGAGTCAGAATTGGTGTCGCGCCAGATATCCCCGCAACATCAGAATCCTTCCTACAAGGATTGCCAAGAAGTGGATAGTGGCTTGCCCCCGCACGTTTAAGCTCTTGATGCTGTGGAGCTGCTGTGGCTTCCTGCAGCCAAGCTGCAACCTCTGCAGCAAGCTTGCCGCCCAGAACTGCTCCCTCCATACTGCCCAGGAACTTCCTCAGCAACATCATGGGATCTGATGTGCAAATGGTAGCAGTTGCAGTCGGCCCTCCCCAACCTATTTAATGCGTGCATAAAATGACTGTAAAACCCTTCTTCAATCGCGAGCATAATCATGGTCATTGCCATTGTCCCTTCGTCATTGCTCTCTTCTTTTTGACTTCTAATTGCCAGCGAATTAAGAACCCCACCCCCCGCTGAAAACTCATTGGAACCTCTTTGGAAATCAATGTCTTTGCCAATTCGAAAGCTGAAGCACATATCTTGTAAGCAACACTTCTTCCTAATGGCATCGGCTACTCTCCAATAATTTGACACTACCCGTCATGAATCTTGGCCGGAAAACACAGTTACGTGGTCCTTGCATGACACGAACGAAGGTTGGTTTATGTTGGTCTACCTGCTGAAGCAGTTGACAAGTCCCATGAAAGCTTTAGGCAGTTTAGGCTACACCGCTTAGTTAAACAGGTTCAAAGATGGCTGGAGATAACAAGGCAACGAAGCTCCTGCAGGGGAAGTCTTGGACATCAGGACCCCGAACAGAAATCTTCCAGGGGCACGGGCTTTGGAGCACAGCATAAACTGTCCCAGAATGTACATTTGCATTTTGACACAGAAATCTGGCCNNGGGACACGGACAAGGACTTTCTCCGTACTGGCTTTTTCATTTAATTGTTTGGAGCAACTACAGCATAAACTGTCCCAGAATGTACAATTTGCATTTTGACACAGAAATCTGGCCTGCGTGGAAAACGCACGGGCTTTCTCAAAACAAGAAGATGCTCAATAAAAATCTCCGCTGGCCATGATTTAAAGGTGGACAGAAACTTTAATAACAACCACACATTTTGCTGTTAAACAACCCAGAATGATCCCTGGCGAAAGGGATTTTTAGGCTACAGGGCTTAGGATTGTCTGGGGTTAGTGCTCAGGCTTGAGAATTTGTTGGGTTTGGGGGTGGCTTTGTTTTTGTTCAACCTCAGCGGCCCTGTTCCGCCTAGCAATAGTTTGGGATTGTTTCGGGCTTAGGGACTTCCAGATTCTAGGTCTTACATCCAGCCGGGCTGCAGCAATGGTAGTAATAGGCACGTGTTGAAATGTACCACATTTGGATGTAGGGGCGAGGGGGCACGCGGAGGAACGGAGGCAATTACGTAATTTGTTAAGAATAGTCACAACAGCAGTCCGACAGGGATGTGCGTACAAAGGTTCGTGAAGTTGCTCCGTCTTCGTCTGGTGGACAGATTTGCTGGCTGCTGGTTAGTGGCGTACAGGCCGGCTATCGGCTATTGTGTTTGATATCCCAGAAGCAACTTTCCGCGTCGTGCTTCCTTTGCAGCCCATAAATTCCCTTATGCCTACAGAAGATTGACTGCAAGTTCATCCCACTAGCAAGGCCTTACAGGGCATTTGGACTTAGCCACGCTTCAAGCAGACAAATGCCAAGGAATGCCGGTAGGTCCGTGACGCCCTCAGGATTCCAGGTTCTAAGTTTTCAAATTCGGCAGCGACTGCGTCTTGGCAGAATTGATGACTCTATCCGAGTTGCAAATGGTGGGCGGAGGGCGGGTAGTACAGGCACTAGGCGTAGAAACAGCAGTAGCAGTAGCAGTAGCAGTAGCAGTAGCAGGAGCAATAGCAGTAGCAGAACTAGCAGTAGTAGCCGTAGCGATAGCAGCAGTAGCAGAAGTAGCAGTAGCAGTAGTAGCAATAGCAGCAGCAGTACTAGTAGCAGTACCCAGCAGTAGTGGTAGTAGTCATCGTGTAGTATCAGCAGAAAGTACAACAAGAAGTAGAAGTAGAAGTAGTAGTAGTAGTAGTAGTAAGTGTAATAAGTAGTAGTAGTAGTAGTAGTAACAGCATTAGCACTAGTACTAGTAGTAGCACTAGTAGCAGTGAATGACAATTCCTAATCGTCTGTCTGGGAACACTCCTAGTCGTCTTTCTGGGAACACGGACATATTTTCCACATGACCAGTTTAGACAATGCGTCTGGCTGGTCCAGTCGCCAGCCAGGGTGAAGTTCTTGATGGGTGTCTCCTTCGGATGCCACACCAGGCTCAAGTCTTCAGCTTCCACTTCAAAGCCATCCCAACCCTTCGGCCGTTACTATTGGAATAACAACGCTCTATCTGCGGAAGGCCTGGGAGGGGCGGAACTTGTTGCGTCCCGGGATGGCCGCATAGACGCTTCGCGGCACCTGCGAGCCCGCACAATGCCAAGCAGGCAGGAAAACCCCCGCCTCACGTGTGGAGATCGCTGAGGATTTCGGTCGCTAAGATGGAGATCATGCCCATTTTAGCATGCCCATGCTCTGTTTCCCTAGCTCGAGGGTTGCGAGAGGGAACAACCCCTCAGGCCTGAAAGTGCAATGGTCACGTTTGCAATACTCCACCATCACTATCACCAACACCAGCAGTAGCAAGTGTCACCAAAAGCCATAAACACCAGCAGCACCATTAACACTTTCTGCACATACCATGTTTGCCCCAAAGCCTTCACCACAGCGTGCTTCACCAGCTTGGCGCCTCCTGGGCATGTCAGATCTTTTTACATCAGCGTCACAGATTCCAGGCAAATATAGAAGTCTCAAAGACTTAACTTCCATTCTTGATGCCCCGCACACTGCGGCCCTGTCTTAATTTGTGTGGCGGCCTTCTTTGCTGTCAATCGATTTGACGTGCGGAGCTCCAAATTCTAAAGCTCCAAAATTACATGCGAGCGGTGGTTTCCTATTTTTCTATTAAGATTTTCCACACAACCCTTCCGCGACGCAGAGTGTCCTCACATGTTTGATACCTGCTTCCGCGAAGCTTCAAAAATACCGTTTCCTTGTAGAAGACTTTCGCGGCACCTTCCGTGACTCTTCCACGAAGCCATCCCTTTCCACGAATCTTCTGCGGCCACACGTCTGTCGCGAACAAATTAACCGAAGACAGGCGGAAAAAACAAAAGCGCCTCAAGTGCGTTGCTTGTTAACTCAAGACGGCTGAAGGTTCCCAAGTCTCGAGAGGTCCTACTAATCAATCCTAAGACTGGGAGTAACCAGCCCCCCAAACTGGTTCGGGGTACCGTCTAAACAATTGTGAAGGGGCATGCACTAAAGAGGGCGCCACATTCGTTGTGACATGCCTGTGTAGGTGGGACTTTGAGGTCACCTTGTGGTAAAAAATTCTGCGGCAGGTGTCGCGTGGCCTGATTCCTTAAGGTCTTTCTGCTGGGGCGGAGACCATCTGGGAGGTGCGGCCCAATCTCCGTGGGGAAGAGCCGCTCCAACTCCTGCAGCTGTCTGGGAGTTCCCTCATTGAAGGAATTCCAGTACCCCAAGCCTTGCTCATGTTCCAAGTTGCATGTGCAAGCTGTCTCTGGCTGCCTTCATGGTGGCATCTATAATGGCCTGATCGCTCTTTCCCATCCTCAGATCTGCAGCCGGCATTAAGCTACTGAGTCTTGCGCATGCAAGGGAGCTAGCAAGCGCATGGTTGCAGCTCTAGGCTCCAGTTCGTGTTGCCGCCGGCAATCGGAGAGCAAGGAGCAAAGACCAGCTCAAGCATCGACTTGTCCTGGCCGCAGTCAGCTACTGCAACAACAAGAAACCATGCGAAAGGCCTTGCCAAGGGAAAAACGGTTGCACAAATATTCCCCGCCTGATCCTCGTACTCCTTGCCTAAGTTACAGGTCAACCCCTTGAGAAGCCAACCTTTTTGAGTAGCGGAGGAAGGATTCTGCGTTTTTGTCTGCCGAGCGACAGCACGTGCTCATGTCGGCATACACCGAGAGGAGCGGGCTACGGCTGAAGCACAGGTGATTCACATTGAGGAGCCTCAGGATACGCAGTAGATCATCATATCACACAGCGATTAAGCGTAGAAAGGCTCCACGACAAAGGTCACAGAAGGCGTACTCGTGGCAAAAATGAAGGTAATTTAGCATTAACACATCTTTCTGCTGGAGCCAGAGCTCTTCCTGTCAAACCAGAGGTGGATGTTGATGACTGGAATGCCTTCAGCCAGCAAACTGCTCGAAGAAGCTTCAAGAAGACGCTTCTCTGCACCCTTGGGACAACATAAAAGTTACCACAAACATAGGGCCCCAACACATTGCGCAGTTCTTCTATGAAGAGTCCAAAGGACTCCTACATGTTACATGTACCATGTGTTGGAAGCCCTGACATGGGCAATTCTCAAACTTAGGGTTCCATTTTTGGTACCCCTTAATATTTGGTGCCGGAATGTAATATGTACCCAAGTGGGGCCCATAATTTTGAGAACAGTCCACATCATCAGAAACTTGTTGGGCACCAAAATGTGTGGTGCCGCCTTCTAGCTCGTCAATCTGACGGAAGAAGGGGTCCGTGGACCAGGCTCGCGGAAGGATGCGCTTCATGATGTCGCAAGGAACCTTGGTGTGGCAATGGCAATGACCAGGGTCGTGCGAAGCTAGGTTCTGCCGTTGCAATGGTTGGCTTCTGGTCCTGGTGCGTGCGTCCCTAAGCTCAAGATCTACGTCAAGAAGGATTCAATCAAGCCTTAATGATGCTTGACGAGGAGCAGAAGTGATGTACTCGTCCGCTACCACCTTCTCGCCATCGCGCATCAGGAAGTGCTTTACTGACCCATCCTCGTTGGTCTCGATGCCTTGCCGCAATCATGCAACAATCTGCTCTAGCTAGCCGCGCATCCATCCAGCTAATGTTACGCCGCCGACAAGTCACACAATCCTAATCCGCAAAAAAAAAAACCCACACATCTGAATTAATAGGGCTTGGAGGATGTACTGTCATGATTGCAGATTAGCTATAGAAGACATAGATTGACATAGACATTGCTGAGGGTGTTTTCGTCTGGCCTCAAAAAAGTCAAGAGGCTGGCCAAGGGCTTGTTGAGGAGCACCTGTCCACCACGAGCCTCGATATACTGTTTCATCGGTTCGCAGAGCCTTTCAGTCTGGTTGCCATCCAAAAAGGCCATCTGAAGACCTGGGATGTTCGGAGTTGATGGGACAGAAAAACGCGGAAAGGTTGAGGCATAGACTCAGGTTGCTGGCTTAAAATTCACCAAGTCATAGCTGTGTTGTCCCCCCTCGCTACCCCGTCAGGCCGGGAACCCAAAACCCATAAGCAGGGGATATTTCATTATATGCTGATAAACTTCGTCACCCCAACATGAATATATCAAGGAACCACCACACATAACTGGAGTGAATTCATGTCCGGCTGCCATCAGTCTCATTGAGGAAGCGGTTCATGGCTGTCAGGACGACTGTCATGGAGAGCTTCTCGGGGTCGATGAAGTCCAAGGCTTTTGCCATGGCAATGAACACCTCCGTGTTGATCCTCGCCAGCAATCCGCTTCTTACAGAATGACAGCGACTAGAGTTAGAATAAAGTCTGGACAGCAGATTCCGAATCATAATCATCATCATCATTCACAATCATAATCATCATCATGATCGTGAGAGCAGACTAGTTTCAACTGTTTCAGCATCCTTCGGAAGCTCCAACTCTATCAGCTTGCATCACTGCTTTTCGGGCGGGCCTGTCTGGCATCCCGTACTTTTCCATAAAGTTCAGGACCTGTCCAGGCAACATGAAAGTAACCATGTGTAAAAGCTGCAGTGTGATAGTGTGGTCGGATATCACTTTTGTAAAGAAACCTTGCAAAAGCACTGCACTGAAGCTCAAGCTGAGATAGCATCATTCAACAGCGCTGCTTTAATTTAGCCGAATGGCAGAGAGCTCGTCCTGAAGGTCGATAAACTTCTGACCTTTTGGGAACTTGGGGTGCATGGTTTGAAGCTTGGGATTTCCTTCGAGTCTGAACCGGGGCACTACGCCTTGCTTCTCATATCTGCTGTTTTTGGCTCCCCTTGGACCATGCCTATCTGCAACAGAGATTTTCTGCGGAGTCTCAAGCGCAATTCGAATCCGTGTGCTGTCCACTTTCTACGGTCTTGAACATAATCCGCGGTTTATGAAGGAGAGTGAGGGAAGCCTTCCACCAGCATGGGCAGAAGGGCTGGAGCTGTTTGAAGCTTCTCAGGCAGCGTCAGCATCTTCCTGGACAGGCCAAGGTTATGCAGGAAGCGCTTCAAGGGCAAAGGTACTTTTACAAAACCCGACGAAGATAGTGCGCAGCTAGCGTCTGGTTGAGAAGGATGGACAAGCCAAAGTTGAAGGGCGCTGGGATGCCCTCGAGGAAATCAAATGTCGTGAACTCCCCCGGCAGCTCCTGGTTCAAAGGTAAACCGGGAAAAGGCAGGCATGATAAGCTTGGGGACTTTCCCTGCACAAACCACCATTCAGGGGCAATTGTTCTGTTTTGCGCAGCTTTCTTTTTGAAGCGCGCCACTGCTGGAGCTTCAACTCTTGCCGTTATCACAGTAATCATTGAACAGGGCTCCAGACCTTGACTTTCCTTTTGTTGGTGTCCTGAGTCCTTCTATCGATGCACAAATACAGCCTGGACTCGATTTTTCAGCACCGCCATCGATGAACCAGGAGGTTCGGCTTCGCAAGTTTGAAACCATCACAAAACAAGGATTTCCATGAGAAGTGTCACAGATATTGTTCTGATGCACCTTCATGGTCACACGTTCAAGAATGAAGCTGAAATGCTGCATCCTGACACGAGCTCCACAACGTGTCAAAACGTCAGCTGGGGGAGAGAGAGTCCGTGTAGACTCTCTCTAGATGACTGCACACCGGATTAAACTGACATAGCGTGTCTAACAAGGACGCCTGGTAGATTTCTCTTGCAGTCTCACATATTCTCATGCCTCAGCAAGGGCGGCAAAGTCGTCTGAAGGCAAGAGGTTGGCGCCAGGGTAAGGCCAGTCAGCAGGGCTCCACTTTCCAAATGCTTTCTGACAGGCAGCTTGCAAGT